CCCCAGCCTGTAGTGTTGCATGGGGTTGTTGTGACTGAAGTGCAGGACCCGGCACTTGGCCTTGTTGAACCTCATACAGTTGGCCCCGGCCCAACAATCCAGCCTGTCCAGATCCCTCTGTAGGGCCTTCCTGCCCTCCAGCAGATCGACACTTCCACCCAACTTGGTGTCGTCTGCAAACTTACTGAGGGTGCACTCAATCCCCTCATCCAGACCATCAATGGAGATATTGAACAGACCGGCCCCAGTACTGAGCCCTGGGGAACACCACGTGTGACTGGCTGCCAACTGGATTTGACTCCATTCACCACCACTCTCTTGGCTCGGCTGTCCAGCCAGATTTTAACACAGCGTAAGCGCACTTATCCAAGCCGTGAGCCATTTCCTTCCCTTTCTCCCCTGAAAAGGGAGCCATAAACCAATGACTGAAAAATAGCATGACCTTGGTTATCACAGTAATCATACACTTCAGCACCTATAACATAGTCTTTCAATGTCCTTACAAGATAGGGAAATTGTTGGGGTGGGTTTTTTGTTGTTTTGTTTTTAGTTCCTTCTCTACAGATGAGGAATCAGCAAAAACAGGTGCACTAAGACTAGGGAGTCAGCTTCATAACTTCTAGATGATGGTGTCTCTCTGCACATAACCTGAATATGCGTGCAAGAATAAGACCAGGGAGCATATCTCTCTCCCCATCACAGACTATGGTTTCCACTGAAGCTGATGACTGTTGATCAAACCTTCTATTACTGTACTACACTTCACTCAGACCAGGGAACACAGTGCAATGAGACAGCAGGACCATGCAGGCCTTGCAATCTGGCCCACAGCCTCCCCATCAGGGTCTAATTAGAAGGTCTCTGCATGAGAAGAGAGACTTGAATCTTGATACTGAACCCCCAGCTAACATACTAATACCTAGTTCAAGAAATAGAGGCTTGTTTTTAAACTGCACAGGACTTGGACAGAGGTCTAGGAAGTGTTTCTTAAACAGCGCCTTTAGCTGCTCAAAGGAAAAAATTAGTAGATGGTATGCTGTTTGTCGTCTACTTTTCCATTTCTTGACTTGGACAGAGAACAAATATAAACATGTTAGAAGCAAATGAACTCTTTCCTTTGATTTATTTAAAACTAGCAAAGTATTTTTAAGCGGTTCAAGCCTGACTTTCTAGGAACAGACTTAACACTCCCCAGTTTATATCTATGTATCTGTTTTATCAGGTATCAGTGCACCTTAAATAACCCTGGGAGAGACTACATTTTCTTCTTCAGGAGAGCAGGACTCTCAAAGGTTGGCTGAAATCTAATGATTAACCTTTTAATTACATTTTATCCCCAGCTTGTAAAGAGAAGCTATGTGGGTAAGAGAGGGAATGACAAAACAAAACAAATATTCACTATTAAAGTATACCTTAAAACAAATGATATTGATCGTAGGCAAGTTATCTGGATTATGGAAAGCAACTCAACCAGTTTTGCACCATTTTTTACATACTACCACAAACAACAGATGTTACATTAGGAAGAAAGCCAAGACTGATAAAAAAAAATATGGGAAGTACTTAAAAAAACATCTGAATGTAGACAAAAAACAAGGGAATTTTTCTTTTAGTTACTTCTGATAGGCTAGTAGGTGGGGGTTTTTTTGTGGGTTTTTGGTTTGTTTGGGTTTTTTTAAATCCCAGACTGTCATATAAGACTTCCTGTTCAGCTAAATAGCTAACAGTTTTATACTTTGTCATCAAATCCAATACTCTCATCAATGAGCTACAAGTGGGGGAAAAAAAATTTTACAACCCAGTAATTCTTCATCAGCACTAGTCAGAAAATTTTTGCATTTAGTGGCTCCTTCAACTTCTTCCTTCAAGACAGAAAAAAACCCCAAAAACACCCAAAACCAAAAAAACACTCCTCAGTAAGAAAAAGCATTGTCTAACACAATATTTACATTCAAGAGATGGCTGAAGAAAGACTTTCCCTCAAAAAAAACAACCCCAAACAAACAAACCCACCTATGCTGAGACAATTTTTAACCAAAAAAGGCCAGATTTCAAAATTGTGTTTCCACAAGATTCTGTTGCAAGCACGTAGTACACACAGATTTGGGCAGGAAATGTTATTACTCATCTCCACAAGAAAGCAAACAATTAGTGGTTTTTGAAGATACTACAAGCTCTCAACACTTTGGTTTGAGTCTTCATTATGAAATTACACAGCCACATTTGTTTCGAACAAACGGACAATGTGGTGCAGTCTTTTTTCATGAAAGGAATGGATGTAGCTGTCTACAACATCAGGAGGGATCAGATATATGTTACAGTAGTTCCGACAAGGTATTTCAGGCAAGACATCTTGTTAATGTTCTGTTTATGCCATCATTCTTTAAAGATTTACTCCATATGGAAGGCCTGAAACAATAAGTGATAGAAAGACTTCCTCTAGTTACAGGATGCTTGTCTCAAATGAATGCAGGAAAGCAGACTCTGAACAGCTTTGCTCCTGTAGGATTTATCCCTGTGTCTTAAAATGGATCTGGTAAGTCAGTACACTTCATTTTTAATATTTAATTATTATTAGCAGTAATTGGTTGCCTACTGTGCTAACAAAGTCTCACTGGTACTAGGTTAGCAGTACACACACTCATACCTGGGTATGTACTACTATATAGATTATCTACAAAGTGGTAAATGCAACTTCTTTCACAATAAAATCAAAACTAGATGAAAGCACTACCCTGTAAGAGAACTGTACAAGGTTTAACAAGTGTGGAAAATACATTTTATCCTTTTCCAAACCGAAGCCCCTCTTTCCAGTATGCTTTTAATTCTCTCTTGTACATCCCATGTTACATCTGATCAGTTTCATTACCATCAACTATTTCTAACAAAAAGCTTAAACTTGCTGGAAAAGAAAAGAGAACAGACATCACAACGATTTTTTTAAAAGTAATATAATATTGATGGGATTTTTGAGATCTCAGGATGGTTCCTTTGCCACATTTAAGAAGTGTTACTCCCTGTGGAAAGTGCTGACTCCTAGAAACTGGAACTGAAAAAGGCAACTAGAAACTACCTGCAAACTAGTACTTAAAAGGCTAACATGTATCTTGATTTTTAATCTTAAGTTATATGTAGAAAATACAGTACACACCAGTATAATGCTATATTAATAAAGGGAAGCTTAAAAGCTACTTACTTCAAAGGATCTTTAACTTTTTGCTCATTCTTCAAATTGAGAAAAGAAAACTTTATCACAAAACTTTATCCTCTGCTTCCATGGCATAAGAGATGCTTTAGAATACATTCCGCAGATGAAAGTTCAGATTTTCTTTACAGATACGAATGTCTTACCTGAATATTAACAAAGACACCATGATACGTCTCATACAGAACTTTGTTCCCCTTCATATGCAATGGAAATTCAAATGGAATTTCTGTCTTGCCACTGGGAAGTTTCCCTGGTTTTACCATGTCAATAGTGCTGTTAATAATTTGAATAGGCTGCAAAGATAAATATTAAGAGGTTTAGGTTGAAGCAGAGTGACAGGCCCATCATTTCAAGAACCAACAACATCCACTAAACTCTAACAGACTTCCTGAATTTCCAGAAACTCGGGTATTTCTTCACGATAAACAGCTCTCCAGTCTTACAATGAAAAGAAATATCATGAATGCTTTCCTCAAGAAAACAATTTGTGATCTATTTTATGGTTGTATCATACTAAGGACCAAACACATTTAGAGAGCTAAACAGCAGACTTTCAAGTGCTTTGGAAAGCAGAGTTCCATTTTCTAAATTATTACCCTTAATAGCAGCAGCAG